ACTTATAATACTTACTTGTAATATAAAAAAAAAATTACATGTTATTGCACATGAAGACTATATAATTTCTCTGCCCGAGTCGATTTTTTTCTATTTATTTTCAATTTTTAAAGTACTTGTAATATTTAATTTAAAACAACGTATTCATCTATTTAAATAAAACATAAATATCCATTAAAACCGACATTATTTTCACATTTAAACTATAAAAAATTTGTATAAGTGTGTACTACTCGCGTAAACTACTGACAGTACTTATAATAGTTACTTTTCTAAACACGATGTGCTGTCGACCCATCTGGCTCTGTATAAGTCGCGATAAAGCAGCGTTTTTTTCGGAAAATTGGCATATCGCAACATTATTAGCTCGCGTCAGTGTTACCAGTCAAAATAAATCTCCCGATAACTAATAAACTGGCCAATAACTCTCGCAAATTTCCGTGCAATTGCCGCGCAGTGCCAACGTGCAGCCAATTAGGTGGCAACCCTGAATTGGGCACGCTTCGTTTTTACACTGCTCATGAAGTGTCGTTAAATTTAAGGAACGCGTTGTATTGATTTATGTTTATTGCTTCCTATGACATTGACAGTTACATTGTTAATCCTTAAAAAATTGCAGCCTCGTTTGTCTTGTAGTACACTCAACTACACATCATGAGGTCCGGGGTCCGTATTCCTGCTTGAGCGAAGCGGTTCTGTACTAAAATGCAGCGTGGACATAGCCAATATGTAAAAAAAAATTGTAGTATAAAAAGCCTACTATTATTATCATTTTCTATCGGGGACACCCTTGGCATGGCGGGTGATCAGTCCACCATTACCCCATTTCCTCCTTGCAGAGGTTTTGGGTTATCCAACTCTTTCCGTGTCCCCTTCAAACCTTCCGGTTTGCTTGCAGAATGTTATTATTTTTTCCATCTGTAGTTCTTTAATGCCATCTACTGTAACTTCGTCCAAGCCCATATGCATTTGTCTTAGCCTCGAGTACGCAGAGCATTCAATGAGTACATAGGTGCTTGTTTCCTCACTTTCTCTGCACTCCGGACATAGGGGATCGCTATAAGCCTACTAACTCACACTGGAACAAAAATAGATCTTAAATGTTCTACTTTAAAACAAATGAGGGTATAAAACAGTAAAAACTCTGCTCATGTTTAATTAAAAACACTTATTTATATTATTTTTTTAATTACAAAGATATACCTGAAAAGTTAAGATAACAATTTAATTTTACGAATGTACATATTATTATCTGGAGATAAAAAACACCGTCCCTTTGAATACACAATCAAAATCATCAAGGCCTACTAGGTTCTTAATTTTTTTTTTTATATTCTATCACAATCGTTATATAATATAATAATAAAAAAAATACTGCCTGTAGTTAACGCGGGTAGCACACGTTTAAAAAAAACACTTTAACGGTTTAAATCGCGATATATAAGTTAAACTTATTTGAAAGTGATTTTTAACTTCAGCCCGACGTTCCACCCGTGACGTTCCCCATGGCTGCTACAAAGCATCCGAAACGTCGGAGCAAAGTTAAAAATCATTTTCAAATAAGTTTAACTAATTAAAATACGTTTTCGCGTTGTCGCGTTTTAAACCGTTAAAGTGTTTTATTTAAATAAACTTTTATCGTTCAACAATAGAACAATTTGTTGTTTGACATAGGCATCCTGTAACATCCAAATATCTTATAAACTCATTCTATTCTATCTATACTAATATATAAAGTTGAAGAGTTTGTTGGATGTGAAATCGTGTAAAGATAAAACGAATTGCAAAAACAAGGATGCCCAAAAATAACGATTTTCGCGGACAAAGTCGCTGAGTCGGTAACAAGTAATAAACCACAATAAATAAATATTAGGAAGTAACAGCACGAATAACCTATCTTATAAAATCTTCTTTTTGTAAGTGGCAACCCTATTCTGACTGCCAGCCAGTGATCGTGTTGACTCTGAAAACAAATGCTCCATGGCTTCCGTTTCCGGATTGCGGATAGCTGTCTTTACATCGAAATGTTTAAACTGTTTTCGGTTTGCGAAGTGAATCACAAAGTTAACTTCTGTCTTTTGATTGATGGTAGAACATTTCAAGAGAGGTGGGGTTCTAATTAGTTACACCTACCTTAAATACTGTCTGTAGTTTACGCGAGTAGTACAAGTGCTTTAGTCTAAATAAAACTTTAACGTTTAAACCATATATATTAAACTTATTTAAAAATGATTTTTAACTTCAGTCCGACGTCTCGAATGCTTTGCAGCGGCCGTGGTCACGGGGAGTCTTCCTGTTAAGTTTAACTAATATATCGCATTTTAAACCGTTAAAGTATTTTATTTAAATGTGTACCACTCGCGTTAACTATAGACAGTATTTATTTTAAACTTATTTGTTCTCGAGACCACGGCTGCTGCAAAGCATTCGAAACGTCGGGCCCTAGTTAAATTAATTTCTAAATATATACCTTGCTTAGAAATGTATCAAGAAAGCTTAAAATTAGTATACCATAAAAATGCATGCTAACATATACAAAATATGTTACAGGGATAGGAACGCGCGAGCGATACATGCCGCAGCATCAACATTTTGTTGAACTTGCTTCAACATCATCCATTAATATATGGCGTCTCAGGAAGAAATCTAAATTAAACTATATTTTTTTGTAAAAAGAAAGTAGAGAGACTGGTGCCGTAACGCGTTACGTACAATAAAAAATGAATGCCAGCAAATACACTATTCATCGAAATATTTACTCTAGTGAGAAATGGTAATTTTATAAATCAAATATATCCATAAAAACTGTTTGTTGTGGTGTATATACTCAAATGTTTTTTAACATTAGAATAGATTTAATAAATATCGTATTTCTAATAAAAATATATATAAATAATTTCATTCAAGCAGAGCACAGGAGGAAATAATCAACGAATTATTTCCTAAATTAAAAATCGATTTTACATTTGCGTATTAAGGTCCATTGCCTTATTCATTGGAGATACAATTATATTAAATTGAGTTTTAAGTCTGAAAACTTTTACTTATTACCAGTATATTAAAATGATCATTTAAACATCCACGGAAATGTGTCCACTCCATCCCCAAGCGAAACCGACTTTCATTCAGTCACTTTCCTTGCGTCAAAGCCATGGGCGAATAAAAAAACATAAAAAAATATCTACCCGCATAAATTTTATTGACTCACCGTTGATATTAAAACAAACATTTTCAACGTTTAAAGACAATCATACAACCATTAACAGCGTAGACTAAGAGCAACATTTTTATAGCATTAGCGACCCATAAAAATCCATCTAGAATATAGTCCTAGAGCCGAAGAATAATTTCTGCAAAGCGAGCAGGTGCTAAAACCTATTCTTCTTTATCTTTTCACGTGAATAGACATCTCCGTTCGAGCATGAATCCATCACTTGTTGCTTTATTGTTCCCAAGTTTCCCTATTTGCAGTCAGCAAATAGCAAACTATTCTGGTATATGTTGCTGGGGATCGTAGAAGAAACGATATAAATAGATTCCGTAAGGTAAAAACTTAAATGTAGTATGAATTGTAACAGGATTTTAAGTAAAACAAAAATCTATTATATCTGTACTAACTACTGTCACTAATAAATTTTAACATAGTTTAATTTTAAAAAAGTAAAATACCTACCGTCATCTAATCGTAGCCAAATTAAGTGCGTAAAAAGAAAAAGAGGAAGAAATCAGCTCGCTAATATTATTTTTATCGCCTAATACTGAAAAATGTTGGTAGAACTTTTTATTAGAAATTAGTTACTATCAATTTTGTTTTTTTTTTAAATAAATTTTGTAAAAAAGTATTATGTGTAATTGCAAATATCAGGACGTCAAAAGAGCTTAAAAATCTATAATAAACAAAACAAGGACAGCAAATTATTGATTTGTAGGCTTCTTTTAATTTTGCATTTCATATTTAAATAATACAGTTTTGGTTCATCAAAAAGTTGTAGTTTTAAAAAAATCTTCACTACTTAGATACTTATAGGCGATTTTGTTAGAAAAAATAAACATTCTATCATTCAGAAAGATAATGAAAAAGTTCCTACCTGAAGTATTGCAGCATCATGTGAAGTGCACGTCCTGGATTCGAATCCAAAAAGTCTAATAGAACACAGAAACAAACCTCATATCAATATCAAAGAGTTAAACAGATACAGAAATATATTTGTCCTCCTTAGGGACACGGGGCTCTATCGTTCTAGTATTAAATTACAGTTCCTAATGTTTAATGTAAAATTGCGTACATTCAGAAGTCGTCATATCTGTAGCACGAGACGTGCAAGAACATAATTGGAAATCACTTACGCGTCGAAGGCCCTCGACATGCGCTGCTCTCTTAGCCGGCCCGAGCAAGCAGAATTCTAGTTTTATTTCCTCCTGATATGTGGCTACGTGACCAAGGACCCTACACACAGGTATCGGACACTCCGCTCGACACGAGAAGCACTAGAAACTTCTAGAAAGCCCTACATCCTTGCTGTCGCCGAGAAAATGCAACTCCATACTTCCTTTGTTAGTACTAATGAATGGAGTTTAACGTTTGTTCTATTTGCCGAGTTTTGTGAGAGTTCTTTGCGACGGCTTCTTGTCGCACTGTAATTAGTGGAGGTTTAATTTGGGGAATAGGCTTGAAAAGCTGAGACAAAATCTTGTATTTTATAAGTAATATTATTTGTGTTTTAGATAGAGACTTCTACATTAACTAGATTACACTATTGTATTGTGTCTATCGTTATTTTAATGGTTAGTTAATCAGAGTCATATAAACACCGATTAGTGTTAATATGACTCTGATTAACTAACCATCGATTTACCTACTGCATGTCGTCGTACTAGACTCTTTATAAAGATTATTGAAGAATTTATGGACGATTTATAATTAGTTTCTTTGTATACTTAAATATCAAATTTCCTTTTGCCAATGGATGTTATAGATAACCTATAGAATATTGTTGCAGGCCATGTTATTCTACGCTCCAAGGTGGTTATGGAAATCCTGGGAAGGTGGGAAGATCCGGGCGCTGATGATGGATCTAGACGTAGGTGTCTGCACCGAGATAGAGAAGAAGACGAAGAAGAAGTTGATTCTGGACTACCTGTGGGAGAACCTGCGCTACCACAACTGGTGGGCCTACCGGTATTACCTGTGCGAGGGGCTTGCTCTTGTCAATGTTATTGGTGAGTGATAAAGGAAGTAGGGTTGTCACATTTAGTTTTTTAAGTTTTATGGGGGTATATATAGTTTTGTCTCCTCCTAAGGGAGAACGAGTTCTGTGGCAATATAAAAAAAAACTACTTACTTAGAGCATAGACTAGGGTCTACCATCTTTACCATTGTGTTTTGTGTCGGACTTCCGGCGACCTTTCTTTTTCTTCAGTTTCCTGTTTTAACACTAAATACGTACGTTAAAATACTAAATAAATATAATGTAACCGCTCCATGTAGTTAAAAATATATATGTTTTTTATATATAATTTGTTTGTTTACTTGGGTTTATTTTTGTTTTTTTTTCTGTCTGTAATATACTCAAATACCAATGCAAAATGAAGTAAGTTCTGTTTAGTGTCCAGTTCTGTTATGCGACTCTTGGTCTAATACGAGTACTTATTTGTATAAAAAAAAATATTTATAGGATCCACTTAAACGAGAACGCTTGTAGCTGCACAAAAAAAAGAATTAAAATGTGCATCGCTACAACGTTGCCAGCTTTTATTTTCCATCTCTTTCTCTATTTTAAAATGAATAAAAGCGCTCCATACAACACTGTAAAATATACTTTGTCTAATATATGATGATAAATTTGACAGTTTACGCTTATACGGTTAACTACTGTACGTTAAAAATACAGCCTTTTTTATGAAGCGAGAAAGCCAGATTAACATAGGGTTCTCTTGATAGAAGGTGATATGAACCAGCCGTATAAGAATGAGGTCTTTCGGCTGGTTATTTTGATGCGTCGTCGACCTATTTTGGATTGTGACATTTGGAAATTTCCTTGCTTCCAGTTAAATGTCCACATTTTACAGACGTGGTCTATCATGTTTTAAGAAAAAATATATAATTATTAACAAGCGTGCTGAGCGTTGAAATCAAACCCCCATCTATTAGTTCCCATAGTATTGTTGGCCCAAAGGCGGCAGCTCGTCAAAATTTCATTGACTACAGTGCAAATAAAAAAATAATAAACACAATAACAATTCCGTAGTAATTCAATTAAGGAAATATCTATAAATTTAATATAATTTTATATAAACTCCAATTACCTACATTGTCTACTCCACATCCTTTATATATAAAACTGAACTTCATATATTAAACGGAGAATTATATCTATGAATTGCGCTCACATTGCACAAATGGATGACAGGTTGAAACGGCTACTTCATGGCTGAATATCGGGGCTTTTATGAGCTTAAACATCAACGGACGAATACGTTTATCATTTGACGGCCTCTTAACTGTAACTTATGCTATTGTTAACGAGAATTTGGAGCTGGAAAACAATTTAAAGGCATAAAGGGATTCAACTATAGGTGTTAGCTTTTAACAATGGCGCGCTTAGAGAAAGTAATGATAAAATTACAGTTTTAAAGCTACTTATAATTTTTGAGGAAAATTGTTATTTTACCAAACAACAAATTTAAAATTCAGAACTAATAACATAATCTTTATAATAATAAGTAATCTTTGTATTTGGTTAATTAGCTACTTCTCATAATTAAGTTCTTTTTTTAAATTACAAAGAAGATTGTTTTATTATATTAATTGTTATTTTATCTTTTTTTTTAGTACTTCTTATACATTAAAGAGATATTAAAGATTAAATTTTTAGATATTAAACTAAATGAAACTAGACTTTTACCTTTATAAATGACATTTAAACTATATTAATAGCACTTACTTGTATTAATTTTTGCTGATTTACTAATAAGAAAAACTAAATTTTCGGTCGGGAAAAGTCGAGCATTCTAGCTCCCCGAATCTCCTACTGTAACCATGTTGCGCAGTTTTTATAATTGCAAATTGTTTTCGTTACATTCACGCTCGGACTAGTTTGCGATTCAGGACGCACTCGCGACAGCTGGCGGCCTTTCGTGTACTGAAACGTGTGGCCACTAAACTTGCGGCTGACAATCAACTTTTTACATGATATATATAATTCCCAAAATAGTCCGAAAGTGGTGGGAAATAATTGTAATGAAAAGAATATTGGCATATTGCAAAGTCTATTGGCATATAAATAAGAAAATGTGTAGCCGGTTCAGGTAAACTATTTAATATTAAAAAAAAAGTATTTATTGATGTAGAATTTATATAAATTACACTCCTTTAAACAAATTACTTTAAGTAAAATTCTGAATTAAAATGTTAAAAGACAGACGTTATACGTACATTTCGGTAATTTAACACAATGCCATTTTCTCAACCATAAAGCGATACTGACATATTTTTATATTTAAAAGTTAGAAGATGGATGTGTCATTTGTTTTAGTGTTATGATTTATTTATTCAACAATACTTTAAAATAAATTACATTTTCTATGTTTAACTATCGTTGAAAAAACATAATTAGCTTTGAATTAGTTTCCTGTAACGATCATGGCTAAATGTACTGGAATTAGCCATGCTTATGGCTACTTTAGTGGCCCGTTTGAAAACAGCAAAACTAGCATAATCCCAAAACGGAGCCCTTATTTTTGTTATTGAAACGGAAGCACACGCATCGCATAATAAGCATGTTTTGAATTATCCATAACGGTTTCATATTTTGTACTAGAATACATTGTTGGGCGACCTCATTCGATCACCTTATGCACTGAGAGATTAACTCGTTAAAATTAGCATGTTTAGGCTCGAGTCTTTTAATAATTAGCGTACATATAATTTCAGATTAAAATTATCTTGACTTGCAAAGTTTTATTCAACAATTTAAATATCTATGTCTAATGTTTGAGAACTTTAGTATTTTCACGTGATGGCATTTTAAATTAATTTAGATTGAACAAAACATGACACAGGAAGGACTTTGACGGCCTCCCTACCGTTTATTAGAGTTTCGTGTGTCTTTTTTTTCAAATCTAACTACATTTTTAATTTATATAAAGTGTTATGTTATTAAAAATATTTATCATTAAAAAAAGGACACAGATATTCCCGCCCCTAGAGATAAACGGGATTTTACATACTAAGATTGGTGTGCTCAATAAATATTAAAATTAAGTAATTTTTAAACATAAAATGTTTAAAAGTAACGGCTTATGTGTATCTAAGCTTCTGTTTCAGTATAGCGACTAACAAATAGTAAAGACTACTTCTATGTTAGGATATAAACAGTTATTTTATTATGCTGAAAGTTTTACATTTAAAAGTAAAATGTTAAAATAAATATTGTTTCAGGACAAATGTTCCTCATGAACCGTTTCTTTGACGGCGAGTTCATGACGTTTGGGCTGGACGTCATCGCCTACATGGAGTCGGATCAGGAAGACAGGATCGACCCCATGATATATATATTTCCTAGGTAATTAAACCAGTTGCGACTTATACATTGCTAATGCTACATGGTAAATAGCTAATTGGTATCCAATTATATCTTTTGTTAAGCTATAGGTGATCTGTTATCGATCATCACATTTACATACATTCTGCAACATGAGAGGTAAAAGAAGTTTATATCGTCTGCATTATTAAACCTTTCTATATCTTATTTTTGGCCATTATATTATCTTTTACCTTTTGTATTATTAACGTTTGTATAATAGTCTCTCCTAATTTTTTCAGAATGGTAAAATGCACACTGTTCAACAAGTTTGGGTCGTCCGGCGAGGTAGAGCGCCATGACGCGCTGTGCATCCTTCCGCTGAACGTCGTCAACGAAAAGATCTACGTGTTTCTCTGGTTCTGGTTTGTCATCCTCGGCATCCTCACCTTCATCACGCTCATCTACCGAATCGTCATTATCTTCTCCCCACGCATGCGTGTCTACATGATGAGAATGAGATTCAGGCTCGTCAGACGAGATAATGTGGATACTATCGTACGGCGGAGCAAAATGGGCGATTGGTACCTGCTATACATCCTCGGGGAGAACCTCGACTCGGTCATATTCAGGGATATCATGCATGAGTTCGCCAACAAATTGAATCACAACTATCAACATCATATCCACGGTGTCCCTGACGCGTGACCTCCGGTCCCAGGGTGGGTGTTCCACACGTGACTGACGTCATTACAGCGACACATGGACCCTCCCGTCTGAGTGCGCTGTAATTCATAAAGTGTCAATAGACTTCAAAATTTCCTCGTTCACATATGAACATTAAATTAGCGGACCTAATCGATGGCCTTGAGGCACCCCACGCCCACGCTGGATAATGCATGCCGCGGAGTGTACCTTGTATATCAAAGACTTGTTTAAGCTGTATTTGTAAACTTAATAGTGCAATTCTAAAAAGCAATAATAGATTGTACATTATGTTTAAGAACGTGATCTCAGGATGAACTCTGTCGAAAGCCTTTAAGAAGTCATCGGAAACGGCTATCCCGTTAGAGTGTCTAGTGTTCAACTTTTAGAAGTACTTTTACTAGTAGTTTGGCTGCTCTTAGAAATTGTTTGTCGAGACCGCTTCGTTTCTATAAACTAGCGAATATATTGAAGATAAGCACACAGATAGCACACCACTTGTCTTTTTACACGATTTCTCACAGCATGTTTCAGACCAAATATGGAATTAAAAGCAATAATTAAATAATTAATGGACGATGTAAGAACTTTAGCTTTAAGGTTATATAAATTGGCAATAAATCGACGAATACCGATGGCACGGTTGTCATAATGCGTAAACTACTTTTGCGCGCCAAAAGACATAATTACGTGATTGTGGAAGCGAATGAGTAATTTGAGATAAGAATTAGTCGGATCGTAATGAATATCTTATACAAGTTGCTCATTTAATCGGTCTATCGATATCGATACGCGACTGAAAGAAAATCGTATAAAAAGATTTTCTATCAACGGAATGAAACAGGAACTATCTGTTACATCTGGACGATATCTGAAATAGATTCACTTCAATTCGAGTCTATTTCAGATCGCCAGAGCTACGAAGGTATCTGAAAATGTGTTAAGGGAGAAACTATGTCGGGAGGTTGTTGTGTTTAATACTTAGTAGATATTAATATAAGTGTAAAGGTTGTTTGTCTGTAACGATGTAAGCTATAAGAGATGGGTAACAGCGACATTTCATGCGCTAACTCAGTAACTTGGGCGCAGTCATAAGTCAAAGCTTAGCGCAACATGTATAACATAGATAATATAGTTCATAACTAGCTTATCTCCTTGACTTCCTCCCTCTGATTTTAACCATAAGTAAAGTAAAAACTATTCCAAATGTACCGATTGTTTAAGTAAAAATTTTTGGTGAACGCAAACATTTAGTGAGTTAAAACACTGGCACAGTAACTGAGTTGGCGCAACGCAGTGTTACACTTATCTAAGGCTGTGGTCTCCTATAAACGCTGTAGCGTTGTAGACCATAGCAACGTGAACGTGGATAGTGACAATGAGAGCGCGAGTTGTACTGAACACTGACTGGTCTAACAACAACGGTCTACAGAATGTATAGAAGACCACAGCTTGAGCTGTAATTAGTCACACTGATGTTTACTTGCCAATAATGATATTATTTAGCTAACTCGAACACATACTAAAATATGAAATTATGTATACACGAATACTGCCATTGGTTTAGATAAAAGAGCATTAAGGATAGCGCATTTAATATTTATAATAATAGCGGTTAGCTTCGACGAAGCGAATAGTCGAATCATTGAGATAGACAGTAAGGGTGACAACGGCCGGTTTCGAAATCGGTTTGAAAATACAATAATCACCTCAACGAAAACGAACTCGACGTTATCGGTAGGCTCATAGATTTCTTTCAAAATCAGTTTCCAAAATTAATAATTAATAGTTCTAAGACAAGATCTATCTTCGATCGAAAAAGAAAAGATAAGATAAAAAACAGGCACTCGAATTGCTACAAAAATCGAAATTGAAGATTAGAATTTGTAACTAATTTTTCAAAATATTTCGTCGGTGCTAACCGTAAACTATTTCTATCTAGTCACTTAACTGAGTGATTGCTTATGTATAATGACAGCTACGCAATACTATAATTTATAATATCAATCCTAGTAGATAGGCAGTTACTCAGTTAATATCATGAGATTATTTATTGAATGAAAACCAATATCGTACTTAGATTCATAAACGCCAAATATTGTGCCAAAATAGAGGGATGTCAAGAAAAGAAGTTACCGCAAGAGACACCAAATAAATTATGGAAAAATATTTATATTGTTTCATTTAACCATTAATTAATATTACGAAAGAAACTTTATTTTCACCTTGAAAGCCTTCTTTAAGCATTGTTTCGGTCGGGCAGTTCAAGTACTTGCTTGTAAATAAAATCGATCAGCATCGAAATCGAATCCTTCAACACGGTGAAATAATAATTTACTCAGAAAGCAAGCAGCGCACGGCTGGGCATATACAAACAATTACAAGCAAAAAGTGTTTTTCTGATAACAACTTTATTTCTATTTAGTTTTGATCCGGAAGTCTTTTTGGCAAGGAATACATGTGCCAAGATTCCCAACTTTTATATATTTCCATCTTTCTTCTTCTGTAATACCTCTTTAATAGTAATCCATAGGTTGCTAGACGAAGGCTTCATTTTGCGATATCGCATCGGATTCATGGATGCAATAATTTTCTACTTCGAGCACGAAGGGTCTCGAATTATTAAGTTTACATGATAATATTTAAAAGAATAATATTTTTAAAATCTTATTAGCGTAGTTACTTGTTATTATTTATTGATATCAAGAAAGATGTCATAATAATGTTGGTTATACATAATAATTTGTGAAAATTTCAACTCCGGGTGACAGATGCGTAAAGCCCGAAAGCAATGTCTTACGAACTTATTTTGGAAAGACACACAACCATGGGGATTTGATGGCAGTCCGATGAGCTTAATCTGTCCCTCGTTAATGTAATGCTAGCAAGATTTGACTATAATTAACAGGCTGTGTGTTCGATACCACGGTCTGTGGATTTTCGAATATCAAAACCAAAAGTAGACGGCACATCTAGTTTAGTTATTATATGGCGGGGGATGTCTCTTACCATCAAATGAACCCCAAACTTGTCTGTCCTCCTCCTCTATCATAAAAAAGGTGTACCCTGACCATATAACTTCTGAATAAGAAGCGCTGTCGACCCATTTCGGCTTTCGATACACAAAGATATCTCCTGCTTCCTCGAAAGTAACATAATTAACAATATAAAAAGTATTGGCACAGAAACCACAGAACATGAAATGAACGAATAATCATTGAGTTAGAGCTAAAAGGTTTGCCAAGTGCAAGCAGCTGCATTCCGCATTGAGTCAACTTTAAATTCTGAAGTTATCCTCCTTGCTGATACGAGAACAAATTTACCGGTTTTACTTTTATAGAACGAGCTTGGATATAGTAACGAGTAGACATAGTAACAAAAACGTAATGTTTTTCACATGAAATTGCTATGCTACTCTAACACAGTAGCTCAATTGGTTAGAGCAGTAGCACGGAACGCTGTGAATGCCGGTGCCATTCCACGTCAGCAATTTCCTTTAAATCTACATAGATTTTCAATTTTGTATATAACAAGTTATGTAGATTTGTTAAACCCGAGCTTTATTAGTATGTTTTATTCATAAATCATAAAAAAAAGATAAATTAAATTACTAACTCTAAATATACTGTACGATAACGTAAAGGTTCCGTGCTGTTGCTTAGTCTTTTGATCTTATGTTTAACTTTGAAGGTCTTAAATGTTAAATTGCATGATAAATGACATTCAAAGATGTTGAGCATGATTACTTGAATATGCCTACATAGATACGTCAATAAACCTATATAAGAATGACCTAAAAACAATATTTACATAATAAGAAACGTAATATGTACACAACATTATAAATGTAGAATCTAAGTAGAAGACCAGGACTCAAATTGAGTAAAACAAGTTTAAGTTTACTGCATTGGTTTGCATTATGTTCCTACTAGCTGTGTCAGCGACTTCGTCTGCGTAGAATAGTTATTTTGGATATCCAAAGAATTTGTTTTTGCAAACCTCCTCTTCATCTTTATAAATTTAACCTTTTACTCACGACGTCGCGTCCCGTCGTTTATGCAAGTTATTCTTAAATTAATAATAATAGTGTCGCGGCACAATTTTTTCGCATCATAATTTAAGGAGGAATCATTCTTCCATACATACTTTTTTGGGTATCATGACCCTTTTCCCCCGGGGAAAGAAAGAAAACCCAAAAAATAAAAATTGGAGAAAAACATTTTTCCCCGTTTTCCCCAAATTTTCCGCTGTTTCTTCGCATCTATTAGTCGCATCAATGTTTTAAAGCCTTTCTTGATACATGCTTAACACAAAAAATATTTTTCAATTCCCACCGGTAGTCTCATCGATTAGCACGTTCAAACGAATAAACAAACTGTTCGGCTTTATATATTAGTATAGGTGACCGCTCACAGATGTAGACGTACCATATACAACAAAGCAAACAAGGAAAAATATAGTTTTATTTTTCCTTTTTACGTCACATGTATAAATATATCAGTCGCGTTATTCGTTTAAGGAATCAATATTCTCCAAAATGCTTCGTGCAACGGTTGTGTTCTTCGCTCTGATCAGCGTGGCCTTGGCTGCTACTGGTTTGATGAAGTCTGACCCAAAGCCAGATAAATACAGTAAGATTATACTTATATAATATTATAGTTACCTATTTAGCGTGTGTGAATTATTGATCTAGTGTAGTTATTAGGACCGCTTCGTAGTTAAATGGTAAAACGTGTCGCATTGCATTAACAGAGGGAGGTCCTGGGTTTGAATTCCGTGGAAATAGATTGTGTCGTGTCGTGTCGAGTCTGATTAGATTCAGAGAGAATTCTGAGTTGCCTGTAAATAAAACAGATCAGAAACGGATACATAAATGTGTTTGTCCCATGCACCACGGGGGTAAAGGGGAATTCACTACTTTATCTACTAAGTAGTTATTAGAAAAATATAATATACATATATATATTTATGCTGTGGCGGGCCTTGAATAAACCGAATATTAAACATCTATTCGGTGTTTGTTTTTATTTGTATGTTCTGTGTCGACGGTACTTAATTTTAAAACCGAATCGGATTTGATTTTTACCTTAAACGATATTTCTTGTTGTATGTTACATAGTTTTTTATTGAATGCGAGATATCTACTCGTGTATTATATTGGTATTCGTTCCATTACAAATATACTTAAATACGCTAAACTTCACATATTTTTAAATAAGAAGGTAACAGAAGCGTAAGGTTTGTCCAGGTGCAAAAAGGTTGTTTGAGTTGAATAAAAATACTAGCGGAGTGTATTTTTAAAACTAATCATCCTCTACTATGAGTAGAATTCGAATTCCCCCGTGTCCATGGCACAGATACAGTCGTCGTCTGTTTCACTGATTTATTTTATTATTATTAATATTAAAGTTGAACAAACCTCAGTGACTTGGCCGAAACTATAATTTCAGTTCAGGGACTCGCCAATGTTTGTACCATCGAGCTACGGGGACATTAGTAGTTATATCGTACTCTTGTTTAAAAAGCAAAAATAGTAATTTAGAATTTTACCGTGGGGCGAACACATTTCTGTGTCCGTTTCACTGTTCCGTTCTTTTTAACGGGCAGGTAGTTGACTAGACTTGTGTGCCCTGCCTGACCGTAACAGTATTATCGTCGTATAGTTTCCCTGGGATTCGAACTCACGACCTCTCGCGCTTAACGGAATGCTAGGTAAAGCGTTTAACCATTTGGCTACAGAGGCGTTTATTTGAAGTAACACTGTAAAATTGTGAAATAGTATTAAAGTTGCTAGATAATTTATAATTTGACGCTTATACACAATAAAAAAAACCTTAAATAAACAATGGGGTTTTCAGAGGATGTCGATGGCTGCTACATAAGGGATTTAGATTTATTTATACCACTCGGAAAAGCAGTGCCCTCAAAAACGTCATGTATGGAGTACAGATGTTCGGGGAAACTAATCAATTTGTTCTCGTGAGTATTTTCTTGGCTTGGCTTGGCTATTTTGTGTCACCGAGAGATTCGATTACCTGGACCCAGAATTGTGAATATAAGAAGACGAAGCTTCTTTATCCGTACATGTAAAACAAATAATATTTCATCAAGTAAAATAAAAATATAGAAGTGCCCGAACCCGCGGCCCTATTATTTCACATTTCTGATCCTACATACTATTATTAATTACGATGGGTTTGTTATTTTTTATATCGTGTATTTATGTCTATATTTTTATAAAAGATGTGTATAGTTAGTAAATTTTTAAGCATTGAGTAAGAGAACACTTTTAAAATTCAAAATATATTGCAATATTTATGTATATTTTGGCTGCTGTAACATGCTGAAATGTCGGATCTTACTTTATATAAAATATTACTTTTAAAAAATATTTGTAGATTTTAAAAAGTAGTTTGGTACGACTTTGCTTTAACATACAATTTAAATACAATCTTATTGTTATGCAATTAATACCGCTAAAAGTCACTCTAATCTTTAGGTTATCTCCGTAACACCGATGACCTAAGCTACTATAATTTGTATCACTAGGAAATTATGAAACAAAACACTTCAATCTAATATACTCTTTAGAACAAACATTATTAAAAAATCATAAAGGGATGTATACATCTCTTTTAGATACCGTTTCAAACTAAAGCGCGTTTCGGTAGCTTTTATAAAACAATTCCACTTTTCTATAAACACTGGTGGATTATCAATTAATCGCTAATAATATAAGTGCGATCCGTCGCTAATCTGTCAACAACTGATTTTAATCTCCCTGAGAGGACGGGGAAAGTTACACACGAGGCCCGCGGTGAAACTTGCAAAGCTCATTGTACATTCAATTTTAATGAATTCTCCATTCTTTGACGTAAGAGCAAAGGCTGAGGCCAGCTTACACAATATTATATATAAATAAAAGAAAACATCAATTGTACAAAGACTTGGCAACCATTTTGAAAAGATACTCGACTAAACGAAGACTGAAGCACAAAAGAAAGTGAAACAGATCTTAAAGGACTCAAAGATATTTCTATCTGTTAGCGAAGATCTTTTTGACCAATCACAAGATGTTAGTTATTTAACCTCGAATCAATAATATAATTCTCATAATATATTTATGAGAATAGTTATAAATATATAATATCCTTTTATATTTAAACAGAACGCTAACCGGTTTAAAACACGAAATATATTAGTTAATATAGTACGAACGAACGAACGATATACACTCATCATAGTAAGACCCGACGGATACTTTCAGCATTCGTCCCATTCCTCTAAAAGCGTTTAAGTGTTTTTCTTTTATGTTTGCTTCTTTCGTAAACTGACAAGGCTAAATTAATTTTATATTAAATAACAACTAAGTTCGTTTAACAGTTACGACGCTCTGAGCATCATTAGGGTATAACGTACGTAGAAGACTTGTCTTGTTGACTTGAAAAATCAGACTTATGGATGGTCGGATGTTAAAATAATTGCTATTATAAAATGTCTTTTTCAGTTGCGGCGTGGCTCATGCAGACCCTCCTTGCAGGGTAGTTACGAAAACCGACGTCTTGCAATATCCCTACCCGCAGTGCTGTCCAACAATCGTGTGTTAGGATTTTTGTTGAATCAAAACCTCATTGTGTGAACTAAATAATATGAAATAAAAGAGTCAAGTAAACCTTATTTTTTTATCTCGAAATTATGAAACATGCAGATAGCTGCATGTACCAATATATTATCACACTCATCTTTATTTAGTAGATTTATATTTTAAATCATTTATAACAGGTTAAAACGCGACATTTTTTTACATTCAAATTATAGAATGATATAAGAAAATAAATAAATAGGTTAAAATTATCATCTACACTAACTTCGCTGTGAAGGACGACTCAGCTGTTGCTGCAACAAGACGAGCTTCTCGAGTGATCGAAGAACAGTCCTAAATAACAGTGATGTGCTGACGATGGTCGTAAAAGCTTTGCACAATTTATTGTATTCATGGATTTAAGGTGCTGAAAGATAGTTACAATCCTAATAAAGTTTGGGTTTTAACCGGTTAAAATTGATTTAGTTAAACTGTTAGCGTTAACTACGGATACAAAGTCATATCTAGTCAAGCTTCGAATCCCCGTTCAACGTGCTAGCACAGTCTGATCAACTTACCTAGAAATTAAATTGATAAAAGAAACAGACCCATCTCGACCCGGCGTCCCCCCACAGAGGGGAAACCAAATGTCACTAGGTCTTGTCCAACTTTAAATATTTCGAGACCTGCTCGATTTATCAAATGTTAAATAGATTTTAATATAAAAGAGAAATTATATCACTTATTTTGGTGTTACAATGTTGCAAGGAGCAAATAAAAAAAGTAGAAATAAAAAAATCAAAGTCATATATTCACTTTCAACTTATACAAAAAATATAATTATACGAATACATTTCAACTTATACATACTAAATTTAATAAATAGAAAATCAAAAATTCGCTACAATTATCAGTAAAATCTAATTACGAAACGTTATTTTAACTAAAGTAAATGCGAGATTTTATGACGATTCATACAAAAACTAGGATTAAACCCAGGCCCAGGCTTTAAATAAACGTACGTTTATCTAAAAACGTATCTTAAGACAAAACATCTTGAGACGCATCTTGGATCCTCGCTCTAGTTTATGCAGAAAAGGCTATGCACTAAAACTAATCGCCAAAATGGCTGCTTTGAACTTTATATCAGAATCTTTCCTTGAATTGCTAATGCTCCAGAGTATACGTTAGATGACAAGTTCAGGCCACAAATGGACAGCAAATTTGTATTCAACAAAAAAAAATACTATCGTAAAGTTATCACCACCTCTTCTGTAACCGATACATTATATTGGCGGAAACGTTTCGATGTCCGATTTTGGCCCGGCACAACGTGAAGAGTGAGCATTCCGTTCCATGATGGAATAATATATATACAAGATATGTCTTTCCAAACATAGATACAACCATGTTTTGTATATAATCGTGATACATATAGACACATGTGAAATTCCATGACAAAATGGTGGATCGGCGCATGAGCAATTTACTAGAACCTTACAAACACGTCATAGTCGAAATTACGTACATTGAAATGTTAGGACTTATCCGTCTTTTATGGTCTTTAATGATCAGGTACATATATATAATATCAAAAGAGAACTGTAGCAAAGATTATAATTTAAAAATTAAAAAAAAAAACATTTAATTATACTATTGTCGTTTTCATATTGAGTTCAGTCTATATCACTCCCGTTTCGCCGTACGGAGCCAGAGGCAGATACATTCTGTGTCTGTACAGACAGACATTTACAGACAACACGTTAATGAAGATTATAGGACTTATGAGCCTCACCCGAGTGAAACGATAATGTCTCATCGGGTAACAAACCGTCTCACGCACACGAAGGTAATTTAAAAGACGATACGCATGCATGCATATGCTTACAAAATTTTATTTAACCTTAGGCACTCCGAATTGATGTGAATGAAAAAGCGAGGTATTTGTTAAATTAATTTTCTATGAATACGATACAGGGTATACTTACTACTTGTACAATGTTATCGAATACTTCGTCATAGAAAGTTTATTTAATCCACATACTCCCAAAGTTCTGAGGCTGCTAGAGCCAGAGTGGCCTAATATCAAAAAACATGATTTTCAATAAGGAGGAATATAAAAAAGCGCAATTAATTTAGGCGAAAATAAATTTGTACTAATATTTGCGTAAGAGCTATGCTAACAATTTCCGGTCACTGTGCGCTTGTAGATCAAAATTTTTAGACTATAAAAATATAAATAAGTCCAGTCAAAAAAAATTAGTTATGCCACACTGGCTCCAGCGGCCTCATATTACACCCTGTATATACTATATACATATATAGAATCGAATAATAAATACCTCGCTAAAATTAGATGACAATGAAAATTTGACAAGTTCAGTCGACCCTTAAATCAGTATATAGTAAAATTGATCAAAACACCTTAATTCGAGCGAACACAGAACACATAAAGAAAATCAGCCTTCCACGTCTTCTTGAGGGAGTTTTCCATAGGTATCAAACCCAGGGGCCACGCGAGCCTAACATAAAGTTAAGCCGCGGTTATTTTACGTCTCCTGTGACTGTATGTGAACAATAAGATCACATATAGTCTATATATACAACTTGTAAAGATACATACAAATTCAAGAGCTAAGTCAAAAGACTTTTAAAACATTGATAACAAATTTTGCAGACCATAACATATCATCTGACGCAATGGCGTCTTGTGAAATGTCAAAAATTACAAGTTTTAACATTAGTCAATTGTCAAAAGGTCTTCGCGTGCTTTGCCATATATATCCTAAAATTTTTACGAACATATTCTGTCATTGTGATTCAGAATACGTAAGTATACCTTACGTAAGTAAATATTGCTGAAGAGAACGTTTCAATAACAACATATAAATATGCATTCAAACTCTTGGCTTAAAATTGATAATTCAACTAGGCAAAGCATAGCTATAGAATGAGGTTTAATAAAAAAGGATCTGATTGTGATATGACACAAACACACAGCAGTAAACTAAGAGAGCATTAAATTTTTAACTAAAATTTTTTCATTAAAAAAATATTCATAAACTTATACCAAAACTGTTAATAAGTAAACGTTGAAATTATAAAGGAATGGAGAGAAAATAATATAAATAAAATAATCTTAAATTATATTAAAAACTTGAAATGTTCTTTTGGCACACACAGACCGAGCACGCGCCAAGTATCATGCCTTGAACGTCAAAAGCGATTTTAAAAGCTACGTAAAAATCAGGTACCCTGAAATTTAGAATATCTTAATAAAATACAACCTACAAGACCTTGTTTATCGTAATGTCAATATACCGTCATTTCAAATTTTTTACTGTCAAAAAAATCAGCATGAACCTTCGATCAAGAATACAACTAAGCGTGTGAAACTGAAAGGACAGAAATCTCTTTTCTGAAAGGAGTTTTAAATCATAACTCGACCACGTTACTCTAGTAAAGTTGGCAAGCTGTAACGATCTCCGCCAAAAAGTCAGTAATATTATTTAGGACTTGCTCTCCGAAGCATAAAAGACAATAGGCATAGTAAACACATTTTTAGTTTGGCGTTTCCATTTGATTTTTTAAAGTTTAAGTTTGCTTTTAGATTTAATGCTTTAGAATTAAATAGATTTAAGATCGTTACCTAATAAGTAAGCCTTAATGGCTTACGTTATTAATACATTGGATGACTGGATTATATTAAGATTCTTTTAGCTCGTTTCATCTAGTTGGATTGTTGTTCAAAGGCTGGATTGTTTTCTTTGGAGGAAAACAACCCAGATTGTTTTCCTCCAAAGATAAGATCTAATTCATTCAAACCTGAGATTTCAAATAATTGAATAAAAATATCAAATATCGTATAAAACAGTGAGATTTAAACCCTTCTCATAGGTTCTCCAGTCTTTCTTAAAACATGAGAAATCATTTGTAACAGCGCCATCTATTATCCGTACGGAACAACTGGACAAGTATAATTGAGCATTGGTAGAGCTTGCACGCTAAGGCGAATTATCAGTAAGAGTAAAATCGAAGCCTTATAACGCCGTATAGCTTAACTGTAGAGCAAAGGCCACCTATGTACATATCACGGGTGTGTCACAGGGCGAGCACGCTGACGGTGGGCGGGCGCTGTTGTCGTCACGCCCTTGGACCGCTCTTCTCTCCCATGCGTTTTATTAGCTCCGCTACTAGCTCCCTGCAATTAAGAAACGAATATTGTTTGAAATGGTGCCTATACCTATATTTTTAATAGGTTTATGAGAACACTATAACCGGGGTCGAACTATCTGATTGGTGTAATGAGAACAATGTATGACTAATAACCAACGGGTCGTGGTTTTTACCTCTACCGGGTCTAACATTTTTCTGAACAATTTATAATATTTTTGAAACATTTTGGACTTCGTCTCCAAATCTGGATATCATATGGGTGGTAGGAATCAAAATTTCTCTATCATAAAGAAAAGATACCTTCATGGTCCACTAAAGTCTGATCAACTACATTTCTTTGTGCTTTCAAACTCATTATAGTCATAGTCTGTAGTCTCCTTACTATTGACAGACAGAAGTCATAAAATATCTCTCATCTCTGTCTTATTTATCATACCCAGAGATTCACCTTTATAAAAAGTATCACTAGGACCCCAGAACTCACCTGTATATCAACGGATCCATATTCCTAGCGAGCATGTATAGCAACCACCAGTCACCTACATCTGTTCTTCTGGAGACGAACACCGCTGACTCCATCGGTATCGTTCGCGCTCTAGCGTGGAGAAGACGTGGCCGAATCGAAGGCACGAAGAGTATAACTAGCCTAGAAGGATAATAAAGATGTAATTTTAACAAAAATCTTACAAATTATATGTTTAAAAACATTACAATTGCATAATCAAATCTGCTGGTTTAAAATTACACTGAAATGAGGGTAGGTTGATAAAGTTACTCAAGCTTAAAACAGACTAGTAGTAACAAAAATTATATTAGTTTAAAACACAAACTAACTGATAGTACTAATTAAGGGTATGCTTAAAACAGACTAGAAGAATAAAAATAAGAAGTATTACTAGTTAAAGATGACACAAACTGAGGGTAGACTGATAAACTGACTTCTTCCTAAAACAAAATATACAACCAATATAAAAGTTACCTGTAGATAACAAGCAGAGCGAGTATCACAGCTAGAATGATGTACCAGAACCATAGGAATATATATGTTTTCTCGTTGACGATGTTCAGAGGCAGTATACACAGGCTGTCGTGAGTCTGTATGGTGCCGGACGGACCGTATTTGTGGAATGTGCACTTGGTTACACGAGGAAACACGTAGATCATTGGGTCATATCTGAAATGGCCATATTAGAAGTTAGATATGCTGGTGCAGTTTGGTCCCAAGAAAAGCTAGATGATCCCTTTAATGTTTCCCACAGGTGGGACTATAAAAAGGCCTAAATACCATTGGGAGGATGACAGTTTCAGTCTAGTATAAGCCGTATTAAAAAGAAATACATTTTGAACTATTAAAAATATTGTACCTACCCAAAACTCAAAAATCCAATAATAACTACCTTACTAAAAATGAATTTTAAGAACGTGCTCGTTTCTTTTAATACCGTTTTTAAATCCAATAACACTTAATGCAACGTGATTGTAATTAAATTTAATGATGTACACGTTTGTTTAAAGTTGACCGAAAAATTTAATCCGTGTAACATATTCTTAATTAAGTTAAATAAAACACATTTATTATCATTATAATCATTCATTAATGGTAATGTAAGTTTTTTTTTATGGTAATGTCTTCTTAAAGATAAATATATTTTCACACCTTTGTTCTTGTGGGACTTCACTGTATCCTAGTACCCTGGTACCGTACGAAAGGAACTCCCCGTTAAAGAAGCTGTCCATCATCCAGAGCTGGAGGATGATATTCACGAGGCAGAGCAATTCACAGCCCCAATACCGGAACGCGTATAGCTTATGTCTCTGTAAGTGAGAAACACATGTTGTATAAATTATGTATATAATAATAATAGTAACAGCACGTATGAATGAGCCCGTAAAAACTAATTGAAATCTGTTCAGCCGTTTCAAAGGTTAGCGAAAATAATCCATTGTTTTTTTTTTTTTTTTTTGTTTTTTTTTTTTTTTTTTTTTTCCCCCCCCCCAAAAAAAATTTTTTTTTTTTTTAATTTAAAAAAAACAAAAGGTTTTTTTTTTGGGGCCCAAATTAAAAAAAAGGGGGGGGGGTTTTTTTAAAAAATTTTTTGGGGGGGGATTTTTTTTTTTTATTTTTTTTTAAACACAAAAAAACTTTTTTTTGGGTAATAAATTTTGGGTGAAAATATTTCTTGTGGCGAAATAATTTGAATTGGTTATTCATTTAAAAAACAGTTACACTTAATAAAATCATCTGCGATTGTCTATAAATAATTTCAAGTACTAATTTTAAATTTAAGTCTCATGTCAACTAATGGCTAAGTTATCTAAAGTCAAACGACCTCGTTAAGTGTATCTGCGTATGCGCACGTGAAAGCGATCATTGTTAGGAATGAGCTTCATCGTCGCAGCATTCCAGTCATATCTCATCTTAGTATTGCTCTGAAGGATTCTTTGATGATAAAAGGAATTACACAGACGTAGGATATAAATTAAGATAAAATTATTGAATGACGTGTATAAAACGGATTCGAGAAACGAGTGACTACAAGAAAGGTGTTTTAATCTTAATACATAATTGCCTCATAAGTTATATTAAGTTATTTTTATATTAGGCTTTTGTTATGTATTTAATTGGTAAAGCCTCTTTGAAATCAAAGAACAATGGCCAAAATTGTATGAGTACTGACTTACATTTTTCGCGACGAGTAACAAGTTATAAGGAGTTTAATCTACTTCGATGTGTTAAATACAAGCCTATACGAAAACATTGTTTTTTTTTTATATATACCACATATTTGGCCATCGTTTTTTATATTAAAAAGCTATCCATCTCTTTCTATTGAATACAAATGCTTATTTGAACAAGTGTGTACGAATTAGAAGTGTTTTAACCTTCATATGCATTACGCTCCAATTTTATGCCACCCTGGTGGGTCACGAGTGTGACCTGACACTAACATCTGATAACAAGATCAATTTCATGAATACGTTGTTATATCCAATGCCCCATTGTACTTCGTGAGAGAAAGATGAGTCTTATTTGTCGCTTTACATTTTATAACCTACCTATCTTGTACTTATTACCCACAGGCATATAGTTTTACTCAATCGATAGATAGTGAGTTCGATGCCCGCCATATTATGAGTCCATACGTGTTTCACGAAACATGTTAAACGCTATCTAAAAATTTTGTAAAATGGGAGTTAGAGATGTGAGAATTTTGTCTGAGTCGCGAAACCATTTCAAATTTCGAATATCAAAACTTAAGTTATTACATAAATCGAAGCTTCACCTTTCAAGTGAATGCTTGTCTGTTCTCCAATTTTATAGCGAAATATACATTTTCGATTTTAATGTTTTAATTTTCCTAAAATTAAAGTGAATATTCAATAGTGTCACAAAATTGAAGAATTATTACTACAATTTATTGTAAAACTAATTTTAGATAAAGCATGTCTAAACTTGGAAGTTAGCAAAATGATGAAATCCTTACCTCCTTTTAAACATACCGAGATTATAAAATATATCCTTGAGAGATATATAACTGAATCATAGTATGAATACGAACGAGTAAGAATGATTCAACATATTTTACTTGTTTTAATTACTTTTGTTCCGCGTATTTGCTTCCGCATGAAATCTAAGATTACACAAAGGATGTGGCTATCTTGGCGATGAAGGCTCCTAATATTAAATAAAGGTAAACGCTCCTAAGGATATATGTGTTGCTTTAAGTTAGAGAACTATTGGATAAAAGTTATCGTAAACACTATTTCTATACTACATTTTTTTTATGCATAGGTGTCGAGTGTTTAAGAAAATGATGTTATATTTTAAATTGTTATACATTTGATTGTTGTAACTATAATAACATTAACACAAATAAACCATTTAAAAAAACATACTATTGTTCAAAATAGAACTAGACTTTATCTCTTTAACTTACCTAACAAAAAAAGCTCTTTGTTATATTAATAACATTCAATATTAAAAAAAACATATTATAGCCAAGTACATGATTGACAAAATCCAGAAAACCTCAGAATAGCTTATAATAATCGAACACAACGACACCACGATATAGTGTTTACGAAACGTTCGAATTACAAAAAGGTTCCCTCCATGTCTTCATCTCACAGTATAAATATTTGTGAATCGGGGAACGCGTTTATCTGCGTCGTGTTTATAAAACATTTGACTTGGCATCAGCAAGTATAATCGATTCGGACCTACATACACTATTCATACATCGTGAAGATGGAAAAGTTGTAAAAAAAATGAAAGACGAAATATTTTTGTTATTCCAGAGGAGAATAGACAAGGCCTCAATCCCAGCTATATAACATGTAAGTTCGGTGCGTTGTCTACTTATGTTTTGCTTTGAACACACGAAATCCACAGATAGACACCGAAACACGAATTTACACTTCGCTGCTTTTCCATCCGCGAAAGGAAGTGTTTAAAGTATATACAATTAAATATTTTAAGAATTCATCCATCCGTAGCATTTGAGACAAACTGCTGACAGACAAACAGACAGCAAAGTCTTAGTAGTAAAGGTCTTCTTTTCCCGTTTGGTACAGAACTCTAAATTGTACCAAAACATTATATTTGTACGCGGTTTATCTGGGCACCTCTTAAATAACACCCGTATAAAATACTGTCTGTAGTATACGAGAGTAGTACAAATTTAAATACAACACTTAAGACTTTAAAACAGTATACTTGTTTTCAAATGATTTTTAATTACGGCACGTTTTGGATGCTTTGCAGCAGCCGTGGTTACGGGGGGGACCCCGATAGATAGCCCATAGACAAGTATAATGAATATATTTCGCGTTATAAACCATAGAAGTGTTTTATTTAAACACCCTGTATAGTTAAGGTCTTGTTCACGGTTCAATAAAAAGGTACCCAGATTAAACTTTCCACCGATGCAAACAACCTTGGCAGCATGTTGATGGTTGAATTACAATACTTGTTCGCGTGGTTACAACGCAAAACTATGCATTATGCGGGCGATCTATAACCATTATTTGCCCTTGGACAAATTGTATGATATGTACTTATTAATAACATACATTCAACGGCCATAGGGGTTAAACAGTTTTCTCATACAGTGTGTTATTTAGTGGGGGGAGGGAGCCAACTTTCTCGTCGTAGTCTAGTGGCTGATCCTGGGTCATCACAAAATGCTGATACTCGTAAAAGCCCGACGCTCTAAGCTCCTAAAACGGTTTTCTTAAGAGAGATCTGGGCCTAGAAGTGGTACATTATTTGGTTGAAACAAATGCTAGGGAAATAAAACACTGTCTCTAAATGTTTAAGGTTTAAAGATAACTGTTTGTCAATTTTTTTCATGTCTTACTTATTCTTTAATCTCTATGCTCAATGGTCAACACATTGCTCAACTTAGCGTTAAGGTCGAGGCCGTGAGATCGAGTATCAAAAACATAATATAGTCCCATAATTTTTTTCTCTATGTATAATTTGAACTGATAAGTTATATTGATCGAACCGCTCAGTGACGTAACGCGTTGCGTTTGTCGCTGTCACTCATTATTTTAACTCATTAACACACACACACATTATTATTATTTTATTGTATTTTTTTCTTATTAATGCAACGTAAAACTTGCTTCTTCAAAGAGGTAATATTAATTAAACAATTCATATTTTATGCAGTATATTAAAAGAATATAACACACAGTTTTGCTTCTACGGTGTAAATCGAATGACGAGCAGATGTGTCGTGGGCTTGCACCTGGCAACTATTGTCCTCCCCTCCGATTTAACAGACGGGGGATGATTTGCGAGGGTGCCGCTTGTTGGGAATCGACCATTTTTTATCTTAAAAACGTCTAAATATAAATAAGAATAAAATATGCTTGAAAAATTGAAAGCATATTTTATGCCTCAAAATTCGAAAAATATATGTAGTGGGCGGCACGTTTTCAATCTGTATATATTTTTAATTAAATGCTATCATGCGCAATATATGAAAAAACAACGTTTCACTGTAATTTTATCTAGTGTTACAATTGAAATCACATTGCACTTGAGGGCTTTTTGCTTGTAAATAACAAGAAGATGATTAAACATATTTGGAGATTTCTGTGATCTTTGAAAGCACACTTAAAATAACTCGAACCAGTGCAGACGAAACTATCAAAATTTTATACACTCTGACATGCAAAATATATGAAAAACCTTTTTATCTTACGGTTTTGGAATCGAATCCATGTTTTTACGTCCACGGAAATTAAAAACAATTTTCATCGCAACGACGAAACTATTTGAAATAATTGTATAGTAATATAGTAGATTTATATTTTTATGTAGCTCTTTTGAATCATTGTACAATCTTGTCGGGGTCCATTTTCGTAGCGATACTTCAACTTACGAGTGCATTGACTTATCACAAAAGTACCGTTAGCACAAAAAGCGGCGTGGGCTGATGCCTTTAAGCGATCACTTCCGATAAGGACGTTTATAATTGGCCGCTTCCTAGATGTAACTCTAAGAAGCACGAAGCACGTGATACGAGACGAGAAATGAAAAGGCATTTGAGGAAAAAGTTGACACAGGCAGGTCACGAACCTACGAAGCTCGCCTTTTTATGTATATCATTTTGAAGTTTACCCATCCCGTTATGTAACGCGTGACGGCATTTTATTATTTTAGTTAGATGAGTACAAGATTTTGCTTCTATCAGACATCCGGCACGCGTAATTCTTTATTGTATAATTATTTTAATTCTTCCGCATGTTATAAAGATAGTTTTATCATGTACTTAAATTGCAAACTAACCACAAGTACCAAGTTTGTTTAACCACAGTTTTAGTATTGTTTTAAAGACGTAATAAGCTTTATTTAATAACCAAAAAAATATTCACGAGAAGTAACTTAAGGGAAGTAATCATGCTGTAATTTAAGGTATATAGATTTTTACGTAAGGCATGTAATTGTCCATCAAAATACATAAAAGTTTTATCTATTTTATATACAACGCGGTTTTCAAATAATGGCGATATTTATAGGTAAATGGTTTTATACGTGTTTGAATCCTGAAAGAAAAATAAAAAGTGGAATAGAGATAGGTAGCTGATCTGGCAAGCACACGCCATATGAAGTATAATTCGACCAAATTTTAAAAGATATAAACTGTATATACATATATCTAAATGCTATAAATATCACCAAGATCTCATCACAGTAATTAAAGGTGGGCTTCTGGAGCGTGGGAATCTACGTCCCACACTGAATGAAAACACAGGTCACGCTTCAGTGCCCTGGATCCTAGAACTGCGCTTCATAAATTTTTATTAAGTTCACAAAAGTGTCCACGACACCTGTTTTGCGGCTTAGATGTATATCGCCGATCGTTATTATTGTCTGTATTTAAGGTCTACCTATTATAGTTTTTTGTTCACGCGAATAATACAAATTATTTTTTATTTTTTTGTTAAGTAAACAAAGTTTGGATTATTTGTAACTACAGCAATCTTGGTCACAGGAGCGATAGATAAATATTTTACTTATATTATTCGCGTTTTAAACCGAGAAAATTCATTTTAGTTTCAAATCGACCTAAACAGAGCGGAGTTGACTAAATAGCTAATAACCAACGAATTTCGATAGTTCGTTAACCTTAAAAAGAAAATTAAAAAAAAAAAAATAAGGCCCCTTAGTGGATCATTTATTATTAAAATTGAAGAAGTTTAAGAACCTTATTATTTCATCTGAGAATAACCCCTTACAATAATAATAAAAACTAGACCAGATGACTGTTGTACACAGCCTTTATAAAAACACATCCGCCAGGTGGAAGGAAGCTGCGGCCTTTGACGACTAGTTTGAGCAAAGTCCTATTGCGAGTATTTCAAGTTTATTCACAGCTTAATTACTATATGTTATGATCTATTTATACCAATATTATAATGCTTTGTTTGTCTGGTTAAACGCGCTAGTATCAGGAACTACTGGTTCGAATTAAAACAACATTTTGTTAGATTGACCCTATACGTTTGAGGACGACGGGCCGTTGTGTGTGACGGCTATAATCTATAGAAAAAAAATGATTACCTAAAATGACTATTCAATGCGGTCGAAGTCGCGGGCACAGCTAGTTAAATAATATAAGCAATATGTTCGTCGGCCTAAAAGGAAGAGGCAAGACTTCACTCTCTATTGAATATTGAATTTAAAATTAATAAAAAACCTATTTTAACGAGTTGGATAAGCAATTATTATTGGAATTTTAGTTATAGTCATATCACCTAATGGATGGATAGATATTGTACTTGACTACCGGACCGAAATTATTAAAAGCATATCAGTAGTAATTTTTTTTTTACGTTTAAAAAACTATATATTTTTTTTTAATTAACCTTTGTTTCGTAACTTATATATATGTATTAGATGTTAAATGTGCGGTTTAAGTTTTATTTAGTATAATGAACTCATTTACAAGTCATTTAAATAGAACTGAAACTACAGTGTGAGCGTTGTAGTTTATATAAATAAGTAAACAATGTCACGTTAGAACTCACTATTTGCGAACAACCCCTAATTGCTTTGGTAGAAGACTTTCAAGCGATTAATTTTCAAAGAAATCAACGTGACTCAGTGAACCACCTGTTTGTAATCAATATATTAGGAAAGCCCTGAAAGCTCTTTATTTGAAATGTATTAATTCGAACATGTTATTTTTACGCGCCAAAGTATTTTTTTTGCCAGCTAGCTTTCTATGTGCAAGCCAGTTCGAAATTTAAATTAAACCTTTGATAAGTTACCTCTTTGGTCGCCGTGTTGCGGAGTAGAAGATCGTTCCATTTTTAAATTACACGACAAACATGATTTTACGTAGTATTAATTATAAATAATAATAACGTAGTAATTTATTTGGCCGCTAAACACGACAGATTTGGATTTTTATACAACTATTGCCGGCCACTGCTCGCCCAGCCAGCTCGATTTTTTCTCGAAGAAGGTTGTCAAAATAATGCTCAAATTAACCATTATGTTTGAAAAACCATATTAGTTAATGTTTTAACGCCTCTAGTTAGTACTAGTAGTTCATAACTTTATTAATTTGTTTGTAATTTTCTTGGTTTAGCGTTTTGTGATATAAAACATTTTTTATTTATTTTCAGTAACGTTTTTACGAAAGATTCGCTCATTTCCAAGTGAAATCTCGTGAAAGTTAATATTTAAGTTCCCGAACGTAAGCAACAAAACGAATCATGACGGATTGTACGCAGACCGCTGGGCCCAACTTTTTGCTTTCGGCCGTTGACCCGCCGCGTGGTTCGATTACGCAATCCACCATCGAAGTTAGGTAGTGTTGCCCAAATTCAGTCTTGGTCTTGCAGTCTTGGTCTTGTTCTTGCGTTTTTGCAAGACCAAGACCAAGAACAAGACCGCGTATTTTTAGCAAGACCAAGACCAAGACTGACCGTGCAAGACTTGAGCAAGAACAAGACATAGCCTGCAAGACTCTTGCGTCTTGCAGCTAGGACTTAGCGCTATTTCACTGAGTAGTTAGGTGTAACAGTTCGGTGTATAGGTAGGTACGCTTAGGAATTCTATGAGACGCAAAAAACTGTATCAAAGAATATGAAAAACTGGACCTATGCGCATTACGACTAATACCATAAACATAGCGAATAAAAAAATTATTAAAATCAAACTGAGTGCATGCATAGTTATGTTTTAACCATCGGGACTTTGATAATGCGGCATCAAAGGTTTTGTACTTACTTCTCAAAGAAATTTGCCGCTTTTCGGAAGTACATGGTTATGATACACGCGCCGGCGGCTTCTTTTGAAATCTAAAACAATCGTTGCCGCCACGCCGAAATCATAACATTTGACACTATTTGATTGCCGCCATAGGGCGTAGGTATACTCATGCAAAATAGTTTCGAATTTTTTTACACGCTTTATATTATTGTTAACATAGAAATAGGTTAAGTGATGAGTCAGCCAAATGGTTACTTTGTATTAATTCTTGGTCAAAAAAATGGATATAAAGTATCATAACCTAATTAAAAAGTATTATTTAATTAATTAGTTATTATAAATCATAAATGTTTATTAAGAAACAGTTACTTCCATGGAAAACGACATATAGGTCAGTTGATTTTTCGAATTTCTTATCAAATCTTCAGTTATTTATTAATCTGCTTGATCTTTACTATGGCTATATTCATTCAAGCGCACAATGTTCCAATTCTAATACGTTTTTCTAGGATTTAAAGTAAACTCTAATAAATAGTAATAGACTAATAGGTAATTGCAAGACTTGCAAGACTCTTGCTGCAAGACCAAGACCAAGACCAAGACTGGGAGCGCAAGACCAAGACCAAGACCAAGACCAGGTGTATTGGCGCAAGACCAAGACCAAGACTGGCTAAGTCTCGTCTTGTTCTTGCGTTTGGGCAACACTAAAGTTAGGTAATGTTTGTATGACAGCTTAAAAGAAAATCATCTAAACGTGGTGGCAAGACCATTTACCAGGATAACAGAAGCATTAGATAGGCTAGTTGGTCTAATGGTAGCAATGTGATATAGTGGATCAATCAATAATCAACGGATCGTGTGTCACCTCTATTGGTTCAAACTTAATTTAATATTATAGATAATTAATAATTTTATAGGTCGACAGCTTATTAGTGATATTATGCAGCTGTGGTATTTCACCTTCCATCAAGTGACCCCACGTTCGTCTGTATGACAGTGGCCCCCCTCATACAGATAAGCGTAATAATATACAAACGACAAAAAATCTGTATTCACATATTATAAACTGAAATCACAACGCGGATTTTAGTCCGAAGATGACAAATTGATTCACGGCTTTCCCTGCCTATCAAGGTGGTTCGTGTTTCAAACCGTTTGGTTGCTAGCGACATTGTTAAATCATCGATTTACGATGTTACATCACTTGACAACACGATGAACGTAGATGAAACAAAATGGCCTTTTGATGTCACTTTAATGACGTTTCCGTGCAATCCGATTGCGATTCACGACGCGTAAGTCGAAAAGAATGTCGTGCTTGGTCATTATGAAGCAAGGCACGACACTCGCTCACATAAGCTCGTTCTGGTCCGAGTCGGTGAAAGGGTTTGAAACTAGTTTTTAAAATTGGCAATACCACTACTGGTCTCTTAAATATGCTGTAGAGAAATTTTGAATCGCAAAGTGGTAAGGGCTACTGTTAAACTACCGCCACTCAATTAGTGATTATACCCAGGAAAGTCTAACAATGTCTCTTATACGTGTTGAGAGGTAATGTTTGACAAAAACTTTTGGCTTGAACACATTTCGCCAACAGTTAACAGAGTTGAAATCCGATAAATTTAAAATCATAAAAGTTAGAAGCAACCACTTACAACCTAACAGCTTTTGAAGCGTCGGGCCGTAATTCCTGCTTTCAACCCGTTATATGTGTTTTGTGTAGTCCCTCCGTGACCACGGTTGCTACAAAGCTTCCGAAGCGACGGATCAAAAAAGAAAAACATATCTAATATACTCCGCGTTTAAAACCGTTATTTTTTATTTAATAAGAACTTTGTCAGTCTTACAATTTTACAATTAAGTTCGTCTGTCGCATACGTGACCATCACTAACCTTTTCGTGTCGTATTAGGTAACCAATGATCACATCCTTCTTCTTTTCCTTCTCTTCAGCGTGACAAACACCAACGTTGAGACCCATTAGTATGGTCTGCAAAAGACCACCTTCGAACGCGTCCCATAGGTATTTGGGTGTGTAGCACATTATTGCCTGGAAACAATTAAAATATGTATGCAGATTTTATTCATTGTTTTTATTTACCCATTATCAATAATGTTATGAATTATGCGAAAAAAAAAATAAGCAAACGAAAAAAAAAAGCTAAGAAACAATGACGTATGTTTATTAAATTAAATTTGTCTGCCCAATCTCTTTCTATGAATGATATTTTTTATTCGGTGAGAATTCACACATGCAATGCAAGCATTATGTGTACAATAAATTTGTGTTAAGATCCATAATATCGAAAAATTGTAAAATAGAGATTATAGGATTTTTTATTTTGTTTTCCCGTACTAAAGATCGGATCTCAAAGCAAATGTAAGTAAAATAAAAAATATTGGAAACCAACACATAATGCGCTACTAATTAAAATAACTTCCATTGATGAAGACTACTGATGATCACGACATAGTAAGAACCGTTAAATAAACAGTAAGTGATAAAGAAGTGACCCATTTTTGGGTAAAACGACACCATTATCTTAACTCCGCAGATAATGCGGTTATGGCAGGTCAAATATCTTCAACATTGCTGATGATTCACTGTCATTAGCGTGTATAAATCGGTCATTGTGTATTCTCCATTTATGGGCTGTCTCCGTGGGTCTCATGGTTAACAAGTACTGCTAAATGACGTGAGATACCGTTACAACCTTTACAGTCGTAATTAGTCTAGAGTCTAGACAGACATTTTTTTATAAAAGGATCTGGAATATTCTAGATTCCAAAGAACAATTTTATTACAATAAGTGATAAAAATTAAAAATTTGAGTTTCTATACAAATATTAGCTTCTTTTCATCAATCTTCTTAGACTCTGTTGAAAAGCCAACAAACACCCCCCCCCCCCCCCAACTGGGCTTGAAATTTACCAGGATTTTTGCAGTCTTTGAACGGATTTACCCTTACTACAGCCAAAATTCTACGTACGTGTGACGAAACAATCTTAACTTGCCCTGTCCTTCAACTAGTTTGTAGGTCACACACTAAACCAGACAGTTGTGAAAATTACAGTTTTCCAATGACTCATATAATTAGTATCTAAGACACGGTGTTTACAATCAGCTGTACGTCTACCGTTACGGAAACTGACCTGAAAAGTGACCGTGATCAGGTCATTAGCACGCTGTGTGGTCAAACAATGGATATACTTTGCATACCCTCAGAGAATTATAGAGGAGGGTATATAGTAAGAAATGGCATTGTTTTAAAAAGAGTCGGCTTCATATGTTAATAACTTATTATACCCTGGTACATCCATACGACAAATATACAACTGTTTCGGATAATAAAGAAAAGGATGTCTTGTTAAGGAAATAACCAAACAAACGTCCTTTAACAAAGTCGACTTATCTATATGAGAAATGTTTATTACGAACAATTTTCATATAATTTTAATACATAACAAAAATACCTGGAAGAACAGCACGAAACACACCCACTGGTAGTAAGTGTAGTACTTCTTATCCTGAGTGCTGTCATACTCGTTCATAACACCGGGGTGCGCTACTTCCTTACCAACCTGTTGTAAAAAATTTTGATCAAATGAAAAGAAAAATCTAAATAAAGTATATGATTGACAAAATCGAAGGCCAATGCAATAAATAGCTATAACCTCATGCTTGTCTGCCTACTCTGCCATCAAATTATATACTGTAAAACAAATGCTAACAAAAATAATGTCTAGTTTTTAGTACCACCGTTACAAAAGGCATTACATACAAGAATTCAATTATCTCGGGGCTAAGTAAACGTGAGTAATATCCCAGTTGACAGTTGACCCAACGACTTGTCACATAAAATGGAAGGCAATTTATGAATTATGCACGTGCCTATTACCCGCGCAGGATTGCCATGACCTGTTAAGTGATGTAATTACTGATTTTAGTGCACTCGACTGTGCACAATACTAGGTACCTAGTTTACTTAGTAAGATTATTATGAGATAGAAGAAACGAGCTTAGTTGAGAGCTGATATTATAGTAGCAACTTAGTAGTTAGTGACTCGTACACATTAAAGAAACATATTAAATTGACAGCGAGAAAAATAAAGATAAACCAGGGCGAAACTCCTTAAAAGATAATATAAACAATAATTCTAATGAAGGTCAAGGTTTGGTTGTATCCTTCTTTACTAAAAATACAACCTCTCAAACCGTTTCTACATATCATATAGAGGTTATAATTAAATTGTAAGTTTTCTTTAAATTTAAGATTGATTTTAAACTCAATTTATAAATTGGGTGTTCAAGAAATCAACGCAACGCTGCGCGGGCGCAATTGTTCTGTAATGCCTTGTTTCCTTTGGAGCTGTGCAAATCTCAGCTTTGAATAGCGTCGAATTGGTCATGAAAAGAACTTATTTACGTAATGTGATTGGATGCACTTATCACTTTGACCTTTCTTGACTATCTTACGGTAACCGACTGACAAGTAAATTATAAACACTCACGTATAGTGGAGAACATTCAAACATACAATCAATCAAATCTAAAATTTGTAAATTGCTTTCTAAGCTAATAAACGATCATTATTAGTATAATAAATAAACTTAGTTATTACAATTGAATAAACTTAGTTCGATTCTGGAGAACTACTGTTAGACCTTAGTGGGAACAGTAACTGCCTTATCATACAAAATACAATTTTTAGCTCAGAATTCAATACAACCTCGGATTATATTTTATAACCAGTTAATTAAAATTGTATCAGAGTTGATTAACTAACCGTAAATAACTATATATGTCAATGACATTAAAAAATTCGCTGTTATTTTTATACAGAAATAGACCTGTTAGTTATATTCCATTCATATACTTAGTGCATATATATGTCGCGAAAAGTCATCGTGGGTATGATAATTAAAGGTTCCCTGCATCCTTAGCACTAATTAGATCAATTAGCATGAATGTGGGACAGATTAATGATCAATTCTTGAAAGTGGGCGGGCAATTGTAGAGGTGATGAAACCGAACGGTTATTTCATTTGACCCTTTTATTAGCAGTGATTGGGAAGAATGTTATTGGGTATCGTTAGATGATGAATTCTAAAAGTTAAAATAATCTAAGAATTGTATAAAAATCATTTTGAAACTTTAAACACCCGTCGCTTTTCACTTTATAAATATTTTTTATTTGAAAGTTTTTTTAGGGTAGTTCTAGATGATATGCGAGGCCTTGTCTGAAATGGGCATTGGAGCTGGGAGCTTTGAAGTCTTACAAACGTGTTCCCGTAACGGACCGATGATGTGTTTAGTGGTTCTGGTTGGCTATTGTTTCCGAGGAGATCACCACACTCACCATGTCACTATTGCCCGACGTGGGCGTGCATTAGTCATTCACACCATCAGTAAAAAAAGGTTAGTTAGTCCAAGGTAGAAAAATCTATTGTGCCAATTTTTTTTCTGTTAAATAGTGATTACATAAACTGCAATAGGCTAAGAGGATCTCGACGAAAATTCAAAAAATGTATAAAAGACATTTATTTATTTATTTACAACAATTAAAACGGCAATAGCCAGTTACATTCATACATACATCGCGGTATCGGCGAAAACTCACGGCATATCATGTAATACATGGAAAACTGACCTAAAACTCATTTTATGACTTGAGTTATTTATATTTTCATAATCAAAGGTAAATAGACAAGTGATGGAAAACTGTCAACATAATTTGTTCACAAATAATAGTTGAATTAATTTTCGCCTAAGTTAATTGCGCATTTTTTTCCCCTCCTTATTGAAAATCATATTTTGTTATCAGTCCACTCTGCTTCTAGAATTATATTTGCAAGGACATACACAATAAGTAAAAGATCATTTCAACTTGGCCGGTACAAAAAGTGTAATTAAGGTAAAACCTTAAGGTAAAACTTGTCATTTTACTCCCAGGAACAAACAGATACCGGAAAATACAAATTGGAACAGTGACTGACAACAATACGACAAAGGATGGGAGGCTAAAATTGCCTTCATCTGGCGTTGTGCCAAATTCATATAATCTTTGCAAAGTGCTGCATTGACAGAATCTTACCTTATTACAATTTGTTTGAGGAACTGCGAGCCTATTTCAAAATACAACTATTGCTTTCTCTTTTTTTTTCTTTTCGTCAACTTTTTTATTACTTTATACTAATATTGTTGCTGAAGAGTTTGTTTGAATGCGCTAAGTACTACTGGTTCGGATTGAGAAATTATTTTTGTGTTGGTTAGAGCATTTATCGAGGGAGGCTATGGGCTACAAAACCTTATAAGCGCAGAAACAGCGGGAAATGTGAAAAAAACATCTTTGTGTGTTGTCGTTGCGTGTGTTGCGAAAACGGTTCAATATACCGAAAAAATATGTCTCAAAAATGAATGCTCTTTATATGATCTAAAAAAATACCGCGATACTATACGACAATAGCTAAATTATATAAAGATGAAGGCTTGATGATGAATTTTTAAGCCCAAATTCTACGCTGACGAAGTCGCTGACACTGAGCTAGTTTGATATTTAAGGATAAAACTTACCTCCCGAGCGAACGCATCGGGCATAGTAAAAGTAGAGGTGATCCAGCAGAAAGTATTGATGGGTTGAGTGGGCAAACCGTGCCCCACGATACAGTGTATCGGCTGCCCCACATACTGCGTGGCGGTGATTATCACAGAACACGTCAGCAACAGCACCGTGGTGAAGATATTGTGGAGTCTGAAGACGGCGTTATCTGTCTTCACTGGCTGATACTTGAAGTATACGCTAAAGTTTCCCAATAGCTTGAACATCTTGAGCGCTATAGGATGGCATAGGAATGTCTACTAAAAATCAGTCTTGTTTGTATCGCATCTGCGAATTGGCGATTATTGTCAGGTTCCTGGCATCTGTAACAAAGTATATATGATGTAAAGAGACGCACTTAGATGAGAAAATAAATGATACGCGAGGTGCGAACCCACGAGCGCAGCATTGAGTGCTCTATTGCTAATTCAAAGCCGCTGGTGATACCACTTGAGTCCTATTTTTTATCAATATAAAATAAATACTGTCTGTAGTTTACGCAAATAGTACAGATATAAATAAAACATTTTGACGGTTTAAAACGCGATATATATTAGTTGGACTTTTTTGAAAACTATTTTAACTACCGCCCCGTGTTTTGGATGCAGCAGTCGTGGTCACAGGGAGACATATAATAAAATAAGTTTAAATGCATATATTTAAGCAATTATGTACAGATATAAGAAAAATAATATGTATTCCCAATATAAATAAAGGCCTTTCTAAACGGGTATACTTTCTAAAATTACAACCATATTTGGTGACAATTTTTTCACACGTTACTCATAATTCAGGCACTTATCGGCACAAAAATATCAACTGGTAAAAAGCAGAAATTTACATGTTTTTACAAATTACGTTTTAACTAACGCTAAAATAACATAAGAAAATAGTGTTTCTTTTATTCAGAATAGTTATTCGGCCTACCTCAAATACGTCTACAACCGGTCACTCGAATGAAAATAAATAGAAAATTGGTAAAACCCATTTTAAACTATATTATTTCCTTTATTTAATATTTTCGTATTTGAATTCTAAGAGAAATGAGAGCTGAGGTGTATAAGCTTTCGTGCTAGAGGAGATTAACTGCACAGTGCGCAATTGGTTGTGGATTCCAATCCCGCTCGTTTTAGATTTTTTCATTATAAAAATTGTATTCCTGTATTGTAATTGTATTCATACTTCCAATAACTAACGAAATAAACTATGTACATAAAATAGTTTAAACAGGAAGCGATATAAATATGTTACTTCAATAAACATTATCAGTCGAAGCAGGTCGAATAAACACCTGTGCACACAGAGAAAAGTGCAATGACCTCTTATCATAACAGGCCAATAAAATGCTCAATCAATGCACCTGTAACGAATATCGATATGCTAATTAGATTACAATATATTTGTAAAAGGAGTTAATAGGCCTCGTGCTAACATAGATCACAAAAAAAGAATAATAAACGAAAAAAGGGAAATGGCAATAGCTTAAATCTATAAAGATGAAGAAAATATAATGTTTAAATAAAACACTTTAACGGTTTAAAACGCGATATATTAGTTAAACTTATTTGGAAATGATTTTTAACTTCGGCCCGACGTTTCGGATGCTTTGCAGCAGCCGTGGTCACGGGGAGACCATTGCTGCTGCAAAGCTTCCGCGTTTTAAACCGTTAAAGTGTTTTATTTATATGTGTACTACTCGCGTAAACTATAGACAGTATTTGAAAATATAATGCTCAAAATAACTATTCTACGGGGACAAAGTCGCAGGCACAGCTAGTTGCTAAATGAACTAAGTACAAACTATTGCGTTGTCGATCACTTGCGATTACTTTACGCAATGCAGTGACAACAGGTAGACGCTGCCCAGCAACTGGCATCAACTGTTGTGCAAACGATCTAAACGCACAATTGTTCGTGGTTAATCGAGCTCGCTTAGAAGAATCGACCACAGTATTTAAATCCGGGTCAGTAAAAGTTTGCTGGCTACCTTTTGAATGAGAGCTCTGGGAAAAACATAATACAAGTATTGGTAGCAGTTTTTACGTCGCTGCGAGAAAAAAATGTCCACAATAGATGTAGTATTCAATCCATGCGGTTTTATAAAAGTTTTTTCCATACTAAAGACTATATAGACTAGTATTTTTCAGACTAATTATCTTATCTATGTAAGAAAATTTGACAGTATATTATTGTTAGAGTTAAAGAAAATCGGGAATTTCAGTCAAACAAACCACACTGTAAAGTTCAGTAACGTTTTTCGTTCACGCGAGTGGTACACACTTAAATAAAACACTCTTTAACGGTTTAATTACGATATATATTACTTACAAGTACAATACATCAAAAATAAGTACATATAGGTATATATTTAGTTAATATTTATCATGTTTTAAAAGATTAAAAGTGATATAATATTTTTAATGTTTGTAATCAATTATATAAAAAAATATACGAATACGATTATCTCTATAATGACAGACGACTAATTTATGGAACTTGGACAGTTATTTACAGCTTGCAGCCGTGTCGCGTTTGACGTCACGTCTTTCGTAATATGGGGCAACTTGTGACGTCATTTGTTGCCCCATAATGTCCCAATTGGCGAAGATCTTACAGCTGGTTTATTTTATGTATGATTATTATTAGATACTTATTACATGTACATTTTACAGTGCTATGTAATTCGTCATTAGCCTTGTACGTGAACTTTTGATCGCATGATAACATCCAATGATGTTTTGGATTTTTAACTAGGTACAGCACATGTGATCACAATGTGAACTAAAGCAATACTAATATGTTTCGCGTTAAATGGTTCAATAAATGTGCTTCATTAAAATTTAATATACTTAAAAAGATTTTATTGTTTAGAAATCGTTACAGTCATTAACAAAGAGACAAATTATGGTCCCTACGAAATAAAACAAAACATTGTTTTTCATTACATATTAGTATTCTGAGCATGCCCAACACCGTTATATACCATAACTAGCTCTTGCCCGCGACTCTGTCTATGCAGGATTAATATTTGGAGGAGAAAAGAACTAACATTATGACATAAATGTGTGTAACTAACGTTAATGGCACATATGACACTTAATGACATATTTTGGACAGCTCACACAATATCTTTATAAATTGTAGCTTATGTGTTATTCTCAAACTCAAACCATTTATTTCACAAGACAGAATAAATGCGAATAATTCTGATGTATAAGCTATATTATTGTAAAGTTTAATTGAAATCCATTCAGTAGTTTTTTCGTAAAAGAGTAACAGACGGATGGATGTCTGTTACACATACAAACTTTCACGTTTATAATATTAGTAGGATAACTATTGTTGCGAACAGCATATATAATGACACCATTGTATGTATGACGTCACTGACAAATATTTCCTTAAAACTACTAGGATATTATAAAATATAGGAAGATTGTATTTAAATAAAACACTTTAACGGTTTAAAACGCGATATATTAGTTAAACTTATTTGAAAATGATTTTTAACTTCGGCCCGACGTTTCGGATGCTTTGCAGGAAGATTGTATCCCAAACATATGCTGTCTGTGTCCAAACACATGTTTGTCCCTGTTACAGAAAATTCCTTCCGATTGACACTATTATGTTTCCCCGGGTGTTGAACCCAGCCACGGAGCTCTTTCTTTAATCATTTCTTATAAGAAAGTTACACCATCGAAATTATTCCGTACCAGGGTACGATGAATGACTGGCGGTATATTTTTTTTGTTTGTAATTGTAGAAGTTCTAGTGTCCGAACGAAGTTTGGCCGAAGCCGAAGGAGGTTTTATAGTCAAAGCTTTTTCAGTAACCGAAGCCGTAGTTCTATCATTATCTGTTGTATCTAAGACGCGATAGTGTGTCAAGCCGAATTCCAGCAAAGGAACTGGCTAGACAGCGCAATGTATCTTTACAAAAATCATTTGGTGCGACATTGGACCCTTCTATAAATTTAAACCTATTTAACGTAAACACATGACACTACGTATGTTAACTGAACTCCATAAGGACACCTAGAAGCCAAGCGGTTATAAAGATATAAACTTGGCATTCATTTACATCTCCTTTCTTTTTACGGCGGAGCTAACTATAATTATTTTAAACTTCTTTTTATGTTTTTGTTGGGGTAGATTACAACAGGAGCCCAATTGGTGCTTGCTACCTAGCAAGGCAATGATTATATGAGCGCTTGGACCCTCAGACGATGATTGGTCCATATCAATTGAAAGTGACACGACAATAGACCAATTTATGGTGACCTCGTTGATGGAAGATGCACACTGCATCTAACAATACATCGAATAATTTAATTACAAAAATACCGGAAGGGTATTAAACATTTAACGAACATAGTTTTAAACATTGGAGTAGTTTATTATAGTTTTCTTAGCTAGGTATTGTATAGTGTGATGCTTTTTTAAGCTTATCACAATTGATTCTGGAATTACCGTAAAACAGTGTCTTCACCAGATTAAAAAAAACATGTTTTGTGACTAAAATAAGCAATTTGCACCGTGACCACGACCGCTGCAATTCATCCGAAACGTCGCGTCGGACCGCAGGTAAAAAAATTGTACATTAACTAATATATTGATTATTTTCAACCGTTATAAGTATTTTATTTCAATGTGTACTACTCGCGTAAACCACAGGCAATATTAATTCCTGTAATTTCCTGTTCTAAAAGTGAAATATAGATTATGTAATTTATTCTGTTATCATAAGCTACAACAGCTGTCGTCCAAATGTAGCTAACTAATATGTTTCGCGGTTTGAAGCTTTGAAAACGATTTATTCTAAAAAAAATTGGACGATAATTCTAGTCTGTACCTTGCGATTACTTTCTTCAGTCACATATTTGGCTTGAAATTATTTCTATGCACTTAAGAACTTAAGGAAATTATTTTCTATAACTTAGAGCTTTCCTGCTTACATGAAATACCAGTGCAAAAACATGTGACCACATTTTAATTTGTCATCAGGATAATTATTTAGCAAAAAGGCAAGCAAGGAACGATGACATGACGTTTTCATAATATTAAGGTTAAATTTTTTTGGACAAACCTCCTTTGAGAAGTAATTGATTTTCCTTATAACGTCTAAGCGTTGGTTTTCAGCATTTCTGAACACGCAATGTTGACGCTTTGATGTCAGCAATATTTTACTACAAATGAATAGACGAGACGTCATTTCCGGTTGTGAATTT